GTCAACCTTTCATCTCTATATTTTGGAAGCCACCTTGATTAAAACACATAAACCTGTCCTTTGCTGCCAAAAAGAATTCCTATACAATCTACACATCCTTCAGTAGGTCTGTGACATTTCCTGACTGGCTTAAGGACATGCCAATCAGTGATTGCCTTACCTGCTTATGTTGATCTGACTCATTCTATAAGCTGTACAATTTCCTAGGGATCATTTTCCAGATGGCTCTGCTATGATTAGTGTCTGGCAAAAAGCTTCAGCAGATATTTCCTTTGCAACATCTCAACCAACAATTGGTCATAGCTCATTGAACTGTTAAAAGTTCTAAGAGATTGATGTGAAGAGAAGCTTCTTCTACAGACCAAAGTTCCTTGAATTTCATATTGTCTATAAGCACCCCGGCCATGAAGAGAAGCAAAAGTGAAGAGATGTATTTCTGGTCATGGAGGTGGTAAAGAGTCACCTACAGTTGGGTTGTTCCTGTTCAACCACCAGTTGATATCCAACACACTGGAGTCCGACAGGCTCACTGGACAATGCAGCGCATCTGTGCAAATGTTCCACTAGTTCCAATGAAGGGCCCTCATGTGGGCCTGACCTAAAGAAATGAGTGATTCCATGGATGCCCACATCCTCAAACAAGATAGAACTGTGCATGCTGGTGGAGAAGAAGGTTGAACACAGCTGAGTGTGGAATTGAAAATACCCCTAAATGTATGAGGTACTGTGTGGGAGTAAGAATAGACTACTCATTTTTGATAAGACACCCAGCTCTCGCAGCTTCTGATACCAGTGTAGTTCTGCCAAATGGCAGGAAGGGGTGAGTAGATGGCAGTCATCCATGTAATGGTGAGTATGAATGCTGAGGGAATGAAGATGATGTGAAAAAGTTCTGACTAACTGGCAAAATAACATATAGAGCAGAAGCGAGGCTGACTGGTAGAGCACAAAACTGAAAAACCTGATTAATGTGCAATTAGAGATAACATCTTGAAGACTCGGTGCTCAGGATATGAAGGAGGTATCTGCAACATCAAATTTTGTCATCTCTAGTCCAGGTGAAAAGAACCATGGAATGGAAAGAAAGGTCGATGATTGGTTGTCAATTGTCCTGTCTTTTTCAGTACTACAAAGAGCCGAGGATAAAAGTCTTCAAGAAAGGAGCTAACAAGCTTTGTGGCCTCTGTGCAGAAGATTCTGGATGGCTTGTACTTGATGTTTGGATGTAAGAGGGTCTTTGGGAAGTGGAAATCCAATCAGTATGAGAGACAGAGGAGGAGATGTGGACTGAAGGCCCAATCCCCTCCTGAGAAGTTGAATTATCCACTGATCTGTGGTGAATGTCTCCCATACAGACATGAACCCACTGAGACAAGACCCCATTAGGTAGTTGCCAATGCCAAAATCTGTGCTCAACGGTGGAGATGGATCCTCGCTGGTAAGGTCAAAATTATCCTTGTATTCCAATGGATCGTGACATCAAAGCAAGAGGTCTAGAAACATAATGAGAGATGCAGTAACCCATCCTGTAGAAGAACTTTGGCGAGAAGCCAGTTTAGAAAATGAAGAATGGAGATGGGCCGCATCTACTCGAGATTCCATGGATTCTGGGATTTCTTCAAAATAGACTGAGAAAGGAGCTTCTCAAAGATCCCTAAGGGCCAATGCAGGATGGCAACCTCCATCCAGTAAGGCAACTCTCTCCAAGAGATATCAGAAACAAACCAACCAAAGTGGAAGTCAATAAACGGTTAAGATCCTCCAAAATTTGACAAGAGAATCTATGATAGGCCTCAGGCAACAGTTGCAAGGATGATAAAAAAAAAGGAAAACTGTTGTAAGTGACAGACCAATTCTGGAAAACTGAGATTGTGTAAGATGAACAGTGGCTTCTTGTCTAGAGCACCAAATACGAAGTAGAAGGTCTAACCTCTGAGAGTCCAAATAAGGGTTCATCAGGCAGTGGAAAGCCAAGGCATGCTGATCCAATGTCTGGCAAAGGTGGAAGGACCAGGTAATGAGACGAACTAGTTTCTCCAAATACAGAAGGTGAAGATTCATGAGCTACAGGATAAATACTCAAAACAATATAAACATGGCATATTAGTTGTAAGAAAGAGTGCAAGAGGCGGGATGTCCATCTGAGGTTCATGTGCAGCTGTCTGAGCAAAGAAAGGTGCTGAAAAATAGTCTAAATTCTCACTACTCCACTCTTTATTTCCCACAAACTCAGCTTCAGAGCCAATAGGAGGAGAAAGATCAGATCTACCCCTCTATGTATGAAGAAGTGTATGTCCTCTGTGGAAGGAGACCCCCCAAATGCCTGGTAAACATTAGAATTGTGAGGTGGTAGAGAAGGAACATCAGGTGGCTCTGTGTTAAAACATGTATGCGAGTATTAACAATTGAAAAAAGTCTCCAAAATTGTTTTTCAATTGTCTCATAAAATCAAGAAAATTCATATATTCATGCCCCAAGAAAAAGATCTAAAATAATTCAAAAGAAAATGATGTAAATGTAGTAATAGTGCTGAAGAGAAACCTGTAGTAAACACATAAGACCATCTTCGGAATTTTTGCCATCAAGAAGATGTGAATAAGAAAGAATAATGGGGAGCTTATATATGGATTGGGTATAGACAGAGTATTGACATAGGTGGAGAGAGTCATATGATTAAAACCACTAAGGGCAATATAGTGGGGTATGAAAACTGGAGCAAACAAGGTAGAATTCATACCACTGCTTAGATGGGCAAAGAAGAGAACCTTTCATCAGGATAAAGCTAAAGTGTGAAAAGATGTAATGGGTTTAGGAAATCTTCAAGTCTGTCTTTTCTGAGCTCATAGTTTCTGAACAATAGTCTTGAACTCCTCTTAGCCACAGTTTAAACTGGTGGAGTACATCATCACACTTGCCTCCTGAGAACCATTTGCGCTAAAAAAGATTTTGCAAAACCAGTTCAAATTTTACAATTGCTTTCTATGGGTGTTTAATAGGTTAAATCATTCATTCCTCTTACAATAGAATATTTCATGGGGTATCTCTCTAGCAGTTTCTTATGTAAATTTTGTAGGAAAACTATGCATTATTTCTGAAACTTTAATATTTGCTGTTAGCTAGCTTGATTAATTTCTCTGTGTGGCCACTTAGTTGTTTAGCTGCACATTCAACTTCTAATTTTTTGAGACAGAATATTGTCTTTGTTTCATGCATCTACTTTTGGAAGCTGGGTCACATTCCTAACAAAATCTAGCACAAACTTTATAAACTCTGAAAGAACTGTTTACAGAATACTCTGAAACTCTGCAGCTAAAAGTGGCATCATTGGCTTGTCTGTTTGGAATGTTTGTAAGAAGGGTAGTAAGACTTTGGCATCTGACACAAAGAAATTCAATTTGTTGGCACCAAAGCAAGGTTTGCAAATGATTGGTTGACATGTTGGCTGCTTACTCTTGGGCAATTTCTGGGTTTGTTTCACATGGTTTTTGATATTTGGCCAAACTCGGATGATCCTTTCGGCTACAGACACATCCTCTAACCACCTAGAGCTACACAATTTCAGAGAAAATTCTGCATTCAGCAACTCTAGTATGATCGAGATGCCCTCTTTTTTTAATATATAAGCCTGGCGAGAAAAACCAGCGTGATTTGAAAAGATAGATAATTGAGTCAAGCGAACAGTAGGTACTGTAAATAAAGTGTGTGAATCACTGTGATTTATAGTGTGTTTTATAAAAGTTGTTAAGTGTATTACAAAGTTTGTACCGAGAAAGAATAAACTAGTTTTAATCAAGAAAGGACTTGTATCACTGAAGTTTCTCAGAAAGAATTTCTACAGAAAATTAACAAACAAGCAGATACGCAACAGTACTCTTGAAAATTTTTAAGTTTATGTATATGCCCAGCATTGCAATGGATTGAACACGACTCAGTAACAAAACAATAGTTCTTTAGAACAGCAATTTTCCACATGATATTCACAAATACTGAAAGATCTTGATGCAAAACTTCCTTTAATGACATGGTGGGATGAGGATGAAAAAATAAACTTTGGGGTGAATAAGAAGATTTCAAAACTGTGAATCACTTAGGGTCATAAACAAGGGTTTTAAGTTTTTCTGCTTTTTAATATTTTGTTTGTTGGGCAAGTGAAGAATATAACGTTTCATAAGATAACACAAGATTTCTCTGCTAAACTTGTACAAAAATAAAGAATACTCATACTTCCAGAACTATTTGAAAAGAGAGAGCTGTTAAAAAAAGACTAAAAAGTACATAAATACTTATAGAAGTAACCTAAAATACCATAGATCTGGATTTACTTAGATAACTTAAACCAACTAAGAAAGTTTGTCCGATATTATAATATCATTATCAAACCATTGTGTTAGCTTGTTTCATATTTAAGCACAATGCTACACAATGGAATATCTGCAAGTTGTTCACCATGGGTATCAAACTTCATTTTAATAATATAAACCTTCAAGCTTACTACTGAGCCACTTGTGGTCCAAACCACTGTTAAAAGTATATTAATTTGTGCATGTATTTATGTATCTTGATATTGTTTTTACAATTTGCTTATATATAACTTTTAGTCAATTACAATGCTTATAGTTGGTATTACAGCACCTACAAAATAATTTTTTAATCATCTTCTGCAGTCAAGATTATGTACCTTGAGCACTGAAATCTTACTTGTAGTTATAAGTTGTAAACAGATTGTTGTAAATAATTTTTTTTCTGTGTATGTAAAATATATTGGTGTTTAAAGTGTGCAGTTTGCCATGAGGAGGAATGTCTAAGAGCAGGTGATGGTTGAAAGAACATGATAGTATACAAGCCAACTTTTGGAAAGTTAGGTTTCCAACAGGTTATGCTTTTGTTGTTGATGTGTGTCTATCCAATAGGTACTGTTTGTTCCAAGAGGATGATAAACATTATTTGTTCTCAATTTTTAAAACTAAGGACTAGAGTAGACTATAAATTATTAAACTCACCATACACAGGAGTTTTTCCAGGTAAAACAACAACAACAAGTTGGAGTCCTTGAAATGAGGACTTGAGGTAACGAAACATTGGCTCCACCTGGTCAGGACCCGTGGCATACTTACAAAAACATGGCTGTCCATTAATTGGCATTCCTGCATCATTACTTATTTTCTGAAGCTGTTCGATGAAATTTCTAGCAATCAAATGAATCAGAGAATAATACATTTAAAAACAACCACAAATCACTTAGTTTAGACAACTGAAAAAGTCACAAAATTCCCACTTCCTGTGATTTTATTCTATGAAAATGAAACATTTCTTTCACAATATTGTTTCATATGTTTGGTATGTTGACAGTTATTTAAAATTTGAGAAACTGGTAACTATGGTCTTACACCTACTCAAACTTTTTTATAATGTACAAGATCTATGCAAAATATAAATAATATATAGTTGTGAGCCATTTTTACAATTTAACCAGTTTAGAAAAAGTGAGGAACTCTACAGCTTAGTCACTGTGATTTTGCAATCATTCTAAGTGTAAGAGAACTGTATTTTACACAGAAAATTATACTGCAATATTAGCTGAAATGAATGACAACTGTTATGTGAGAAATATATTTGCTTAAAATGCTATATTCAAATAATCATTTATCATATTATTATGACAGTGCACACAGTATAACTAACAACAATAAATAATTAGTAGCAGAAAAACTTACATAGATAGCAATTAAATTTTCCTTTTGTTTAGTGGAACAAAATATTGAATTTTTCATAATTTTAATAAAAAGTAAAGATATACTGCATGTGGGTCATGTAATTTCATAGAATATGAAATATAAGGCAAGTGCAAAATGTAGCACAGGCTGAAAATGCTTGATCTGAACTTTAAAACTTCTTTTAAATGCCCATTCTCTTCCTTTCCAGTCTGAATATTAAAGTTTCATTTATCATATACAATGTTTTTATTTCTCAAAAGAAAAAAGAATCTACCAGAAAACACCATATAACAACGTATTGTATACCCTCAGCAAGCTTTGGTTAGCTGATCACACACAGTTAACATTTATAATGGTGAAAGAGTATCCACACACAAACCATCTAAGTATATTTAATTGTAGGACACAAGAAAGTGAAAAAAAATCATCTTATACAAACATTTTAAAAGACTAAAGGGATATAGACTAATTGCAATGTCAATGTAAGGGTAGAACTAATAAAAAAGGTAACTGCTAAAAAACTTGTGTGACACCCAGAAGACAGTGGTATGACTAAAAGAGATTAACTACCTCAACTGTCTATGCAGTCAAACACAGCATTATGCTCTTTGGCTGCTTCACCTTAGAAATACTTGCAATTAAGTGGATACTGGCATTTTGAGAATGAAACTAAAAGCTTTGGGAGTTTTGTATATTATGATAAATATTGGCTATGGTAGACAACAGGTACTGTTGGTTAAAATTTGGCAAATGGAGATCACCACTAAGTCCCATCTTCTTCAACATATACACATCTGATTTAGTCAGTGAAGTTGAAGACCCTGGAGTGACACCACAGCACATAACTTTTGAAATCATCTCACACACACCAATGAAAGCAGTGGAGGGCCTGTAAGAAACAAGCAAAAGCCTTTTGGATGTGACTACCAGATCTCACATAGATACCTCTATTTTCATGCTGACAGATGAGTTCCGCACATAAGTTATCACTTTTTTGGGTATTGTGATGGGCTGCAGATTGAGAATGTCTCCACATGGTCATCTAAGAGAGAAGTCTTACCCTTCTCAAATACACTGCAACCCAGAAAGCGCAGCAAAGGAGCCTCATGAATCTGAGGAGAGCAACAGCCATGACCAGAATGGAGTGTTGAATCAACTTATTTACATCAGTTGCAAAGTCAGCAATGATCAAGATAAAGAAGTTGCAAAATGAAATCATGAAAATAGCAAAAGGAAAAATCAAACTAACAACCTATGCTTTTCTTATGGCTTGGTTTAAACAGCATACTGCAAGACAAAGAATTCTAGCCAACCAAGTATTTATTGAGACTGAAATTGGTCAAGTCATGGTCCAGTAAGCAGCAGCAGCAGAAAAAAACATGTAGAGGAGATATGTCCACTGGAAAACATCAAGCATACTGAGTGGTTCAAGGCAGATGGTATTAAGTTAAACACAATGACAACTGGCAACAGGATGTGGAGGGAAAGTTTAGAGAAGGTCAACACAGTCAAGATCGTGGAATGGATATATGAGCATAGACCAACATTTATCATAGCAATGAATGGCACACTCAGAAAAGACATCACTACATAGGTAGCAGCTGTGTGGAGAGAAGGATATTTAGTGTTTCAATGGTCAGCAACAAAAACTGGGTAATCCAGTTCATTTACAGCAGAACTGAAGTATACATAAGGATACATTTGTCTAGTTGACAAATAAAAGTCAAGATCATGAGAGGATCATACTCCTGACAGAAGCCCTAAACCTCATCACAAGATTGGAGACAAGTTTTGCCCAAAGAATATGGGTAAAATGTTTAAGAGACCTAAGGTTCATCTGATAATGACTTTTATTCCTGCCCACAATGGCAGGTAAAGAGACCTGGCTGACCTGGTAAGATCTCCAAAAGATGACATCAACGAATAGCATGTAGATTTATGGTACAGAAAAAGACACAAGAGTGTCACATTAGTCATTTGAAAAACTCGAGGAAAGAGGGTGGAATATGAAAGTGGAGCAAGCATGAAAATATGCTACTTAAGTCAAATTGGACTGACTGTTATAAATACCCTTAGGATATTATTGGAGGGAGAAGAGCCTACGCCAGGATCATTGCTCCACCCCCCCCAAATCAATTATTAGTAAAAGTAATATTAAATAGTTTCATTAACATTGAGTACCAGGCTGTTAAACAAAAAGTGATACACAATAATTAAAAGTAATAAAGCATAAAGCTAAACTGGTTGCTGCTGACTGACCTCCCTGTGGCTGATGATAAAAAAATTAGGAATTTTGCAATGTTACTTGGACTGCACACTGATAAATGTGCTGCAATGAGATTTCATTATTGGAGGGAGTAGAGCTTCTTTAGCCAATGCTAAATTCCTCTAGTGTGTAAACAAATACATAATAAATAATTTCACTGACTCATCAGTTATTTGCAAATATGAAACATGCAATTGGTCACAGACAACATCTGACTAAAATAGCTGTTTAACAATCCCAAATTTCACTGAGCAGGACAGTTTGTTGCACATACTGATGTAAAACTAACAAAAATAAAACTGTTAGTACACAGAAATTGTTAAAACCTATCACAAAATCACAGTAGAAGTGTTACAAAAAACTGTCAATTTTTATGTGTTTGTTGATGTAAATCAAACCTGACATAAGCTGCCTTTTCTAAAACAAAATATAATAGTTAAATGCATTGGTGAAAAAGATATACAAATTAAAGAACAGGTTAAACAGTTGCCAAGTTCTTTTATATTTTTAAGAGGATGACGTTTTGAGCTCACACTCTTCATTAGATCTTACAGCTCATAACCCATGCGCTGCCTACAGGATATAGCTTCCAATGACATGGTACAACACCAACAGAAATTCTAACAAATTTTCAATGAACAGAAATCTTTAAACATTTAGAGAAGAAATCATGAAGCCAACTGTAACTATCATAATTTCCTTAGAACCTTAAGAGATAAAAAAATGGCAACACTACAATAATGAACAGAAATCTTTAAACATTTAGAGAAGAAATCATGAAGCAAACTGTACCTATCATAATTTCCTTAGATCCTTAAGAGATAAAAAAATGGCAACACTACAATAAAATAATAGCCTTAAAATCATATATAAGCCCATCCCAAATACAACACTTTAAAACAATGCTGTCAATGTGGATTTTCATTGTGATTCTTCATAATTTTCCCTTTCCACAACTTTTGAAGACCCTTTTGTTGTGACTCATTTGTCACATTTCATCTTTTCCCATAAAAGGAATATTATTTGAAAGATAATATAGCTAATACTCTTGTTCCTTGTAGGCAAAACCTCTACAAAATCTATTTGATATGCCAAAAAATTTAATAAACCATTGAAAAAAAAAGAAAGAAGTGTTATGTGATACTTTTTTCATTATATTCTTCAGTAAATAAAGATTTCTTTAAATTTAACTAATCTTGCCTTGCACAGTGAACAATCTCCTGAGGTAATATGACAATTTATATTTTTTTCTCTTTTTAAATTACATTTTGAATGTTTTACTGATAAAACATATGGTGATGAAGACAGATTTCTTGATATATTGGTTTGTAACATACAATTTATTAATCTGTTGCTATGTTACTTTAAAATACTGTATCTCATAATCAATATCTTTTAGAAATCTTTAGCAAAGAAAATACAGTTTCCAAAAACTCCACATGCAAAGATTGAACTAATTATCAAATGTCCCATTTTGCCAAGGACAGTTCCACCATCACAACATTTTCTTTACAAAGAGCCAAATGTCAAATTTTCACATATATTTGTATTAGAAAATTGATATTAATATTTTTGTTTAACATAAAAGATATAGCTACCTTAGATTTGGCCTAACAAATGAATTCTTAACTTTTCATTCTTGAATCTACATGATTTATTTATTGTAAGGTAAACATATTATTTTTGGTGTAATGTTAAATCAGCATAATAAAGTTTGATTATTTAAAAAAACATATACTATTACACAGCAAAAGATCTCTACAAACTTTAAAGCATAAGATACTTCCACGACTAGAACAGTAGCATAAAAAGCAGGTGTGATTACAATGACAATTTTGAGTACTAGGCTTTAGCTAAACTTGTAGAGAACCTTCAATAATATACTTACTGTATACTTCACACAGTCATAATGTTTTATATCTGATTCAAGTTCTTACAGACTTTCAGGCAAAACTAAGTTGAATGTAACTGTGTGTGTCATAATATGATACAGAAAATCCATGATGATAATTTTAAGTCACTGTTGACACAATAAAATAAGAGTGTACATTATTAATTTAAAAATTAATTTCGGGCTTGTAATATAATAACCTTATATTATTTCTGTGTGATATAAATTACTGGTTTGCATACATCAACTTTTATTGCCTGATGATACCTCTTAACACATGCAAGCAATGGTGATACTTTTTCCTTTGAATCCTG